TTTTGGTCACTACATGCTAGGTACTATTCTATTTCATCAAGCATTCTAATGGTCCCATGGACATTATTTCATTTAAATCTATGCTGTACTGCTTTCTTGTAAGAGGAGGAAAGCATGCATTTTCTTTTGCCTTAAATTAATTGAGAGGGGAAGGATCTAGAACATGATAGGTTCCCAAAGGCAGCTGAAGTGCTCAGTGCAAGGGGCACAGTCATTCACCAGATAGCAAACACAAGACAATAAGTTTCCTGCCAAAGTGAATCGTTGTATCTCTTTACTAGGAATCTTGCACGAGATGCAGTTTTTCTCTCAGGTTAAAGACTGAAAGAGCAAGAAGCTGATTTTACCAGCTGGGCTCTGGAACTCAGCCATAGATAATTTCCTACGAAGGATTTCGAACATGAGCATGGCCCATTGGCCAAGGGCCCAGACCATCAAGTCAAACAGCAGCTTAGTTAAAAGAGGCGCAGAGCATAGACATGAGCAAGCTGTTCTGAGCTCAGCACAACAATACTTACTAGCTTTCCTTGGATAATTTGGATGTGTGGGAGAAGAAATACTCATTGTGAACAGGGGCTGTAGGGCAGAATTTTAAGAAAAATCAAGCCACAAGAAATAAAAGATGTTTCAAACAATGTTGAATACCAAGAATTTATTTGTTGTTTTAATAAGACCCTATGAATGAATATCCTTCATAAGCTTATCCCTACATGATGCTATCAGTGGGATATCTCTAGTCCACAACTAGGAAGCAGGCTTTGTGCAGAGGGTTTAGTTCATAGCTGCGGTGTATGAAGGGGGAGGACCCTGGCAGCCAGTGCACCCTAAGCCCGCACTGACAGCTGGAATGAAAGTCCTCCAGATGGTAGAAGAGTGGGGAGGAAACCTGCAGTAACAACAAGATACAAAGAGGAAGAGCTAAGACTCACTAATAAGAGGTGGCAACAGAGGAAAAGACCTTCCTTAATACACCTGTTCTGAGCACCAGAATGTCTGGTAGTGGCACAATACTATTTTGTGGAAGAAACATAAATATACCAGATTTACCAGGCATGTGCAAAGATAATCTGACCAAGTGAAGAAGGGAGCTATTAGTGTAGACTAGGAAAAAACTTCTAATTAATCTATAAACACTATGCAGTGAAATCAATTCCATGAGCCCCACTATAAAATTACCTTGTTTCTAAGTAACCATCTACTTTGATGCAAGACATGTTAAAATCATCAAAATGATAAACTTCAATCTATGATAATCTTTTCATAGCTAGTAAAATAAGTCATTTTATTTAAAACAGTGAGGATTCTATGAGGCCATTTGGCTCACTAAAACTACAGGTTGAGGTATGAGAAAGCTCAAGCAATTGGAGGGAACATGGTCACTTTGGAATAGCAATGTCTGGGTAGGACTAGGCTCCTCAATGTCAAGGACAGTTAGCCTTTACTTATTGTTCTCTTTGACTGTAGATGGCACCCACACACAGAAGAACTAATAAAATGACAGAGATGCCAAAGAGGAAATGGCAGATGGCCAGCAAGCATATGAAAAAATGTTCAACATCACTCGTAATAAGGGAGATGCAAATTAAAACCACAATGAGATACCACCTCATCCCAGTGAGAATGGCACATCTTTAAACAACTAGCAACAACAAATGTTGGTGAGGATGTGGAGAAAAAGGAACTCTCCTGCACTGCTGGTGGGAATGAAACTAGTACAACTACTATGGAAAACTGTTTGGAGGTTCCTCAAACTGCTAAACATGGAGCTTCCCTACGACCCAGCAATCCCACTCCTAGGCATCTACCCAAAAGACACAAAAACACTGATTGAAAAAGATACCTGCACCCCCATGTTTATTGCTGCTTTATTTACAATTGGAAAAACATGGAAGCAGCCCAAAGGTCCAAAAGTAGATGACTGGATTAAAAAGATGTAGTACATATATACAATGGAATATTACTCAGCAACCAAAAAAAGAGAAACACATGTCTTTCGCAGCAACTTGGATGGAGCTGGAAAAGATCATGCTTAGTGAGATAAGCCAGAAAGAGAAAGAAAAATACCAGATGGTTTCACTTATAGCAGGAGTATAATGGACCAGGCGAGAAAATAACAAGAATAATGAACAGCCATATACCAGAGACATTTTGTGGGGGTGGAGTGGGGAATGGGATCAAAAATGGGGGGGCTGGGGAGGGAAGTGCACGGGATTATGGTGAAGGCACACGGGTAACTTGGTGATGGGAAACCCGCGGGGATTACAATTGAGATGGAAAAAAAATGTACAAAATGATGTAAAAATAAACTTTTATATAAAAAAAAATGACAGAGATGGAAAAGGCTGACTATTCCTTTGTCAGGAGCATGGCAAGACTAGACAATGCAAGAATTTGTACATGTCTAATCTAAGAGTGAATTAAAGAGGACTTTACTAGGGAAGTTTGCACTCTGATTCACTCCCATGTTGCACAGCCTCAGAAAATCTACATAAATTCATTTTACATCAATTGGGAGAATGGGGAGAATATTCAAACCACCTTCCTTGTTGTACAAGTGTTTTGTGTGACTATCTGGGGGAAAATGCTCCTCAAAAGAAAATACATAACGTTCAGCTTTAAAAAGGAAATTTCAACACACGCTACAGCATGGATGAATCCAAGAATAAGAGGCTAAAGAGAAATAGTCAATCATGAAAGCCCAAACATAGTAGGTTTCCATTTACATGTGGGACCTAAAGTAGTCTAATTCACAGAAACAGAAAGTACAGTGGAAGGTACCAGGGGCTAGGGAAGAAGACTGGTAAAATGCTATTTAATAAGCACAGTTTTGGTTCTGCAAGGTAAGTTTTCTTGTAGGCAGTTTGTACAATTAAATTATGCCTGTAAGTAACACTATAAAATTGTACACTTAAAAATGGCCAAGGTAGGGCCCTCCCTGGTGACACAGCGGGTTAAAGCACAGCACTAAGAAGATAAAGCCACTTCAACATGAGTTCGATCTCCAGCCCCGAAGGTGATCCACATGGCATGGCAGACCTCTCCTGACCTGCCCACTGCTCCCCTCAGCAGTGTATTTAATAGTCAGTCGGCCTGTTGAGTGTAAGTGAGTTATCTGGTTTACCTAAACCCTAGTCCTGACCCTGATCATTCTTCTGAGACTCAGATGACATATACCACATTATGGCACATGCAATCACACCATTCAGAAGAGAGAGCTTTTGCCAGCCATTGAGCACAGCTGTAGGAGAGTGAAAGGAGCGTACCTGGGGAAAAGGCACTCAGTCACTGGGCCACAGACTCCTACATGACTTGCCACTTGGATACACATTGCAGCTTAGCAATTACTGGTCTAACCTAGAAATGATGTACTATAGTACTCTATTCCATCACAATGCAGTCTCATTTACAGAGTGTGGAAGATTTCCATTAGTAAGTCAGAAGACATTCTGATGAGTCCACTTACTCACCTCCCTATATATTTCTGAACCCCACTGCAAGCAGGTATGAAAGGTATAGATGAACATACCCTAGACTTCACCTTCCAAGTGAAGAAATTAGGTCATCATATTGTTAAAATACGATATGGTAAATGGAGAACACTTGGAAAATAAACACAGAGGAAAGAGGGAAAACCCTGAGGAAACTGAAACCTTAATGCTTCAAAGAAGAGGCTACATGGGCTAGTGTGTGTATATGTGTGTGTGTATATATGTGTGTGTATACACTAGCCCATGTATCCCATATATATATATATATATATATATATATATAAATTATATATATATATGTATGTGTATATATACAATTTATATACATATACAATTTTTATTGAGGCAACATAGGATTACAACACTAGATATGACTGAAAGGTATAAGAGCACACCTCTTCAGACAAGTTACCATACCACAGTAGCAAGCTAACTCTCAGCCAGTGGTGCCAAGGACAACTATTAAGATAGACCATTCTGGAAGCTACTGTAATAGGTTAGGCAGATGCCTAATACTATTATTTATGGCTTGATGTGTAAATTCTGGACCAGGAGAGAATCTGGGGCAGAAGAGAACTATGTGGGAGTTCTTAACACATAGATCACAGTTGGAGATCCCAGAGTATAAAGTTGAATATTTAGGAAGATGATTCTGGACCAGAGACCCTGGGACACACAAATATGGAGGGAGTGGGACACCTGGAAGGGGGCCAGCAAAGACGGTCTAAATGTGGAAGAATACGATATCATAGAAAAAAATTAGCAGTGATGATCCAAGAGTGCCAATTCTGTCCACATGTTGGTAGCATGAGAACTTGAATAATATTTTTTTTAATTAAAAAGTTTATTTTTACATCATTTTGCACCTTTTTTTCCCCATCTCAATTGTAATCCCCGCGGGTTCCCATCACCAAATCACCCCTGTGCCACCACCATAGTCCCGTGCATTTCCCTCCCTTCCCCCCCATTGAGAACTTGAATAATATATTTAACATGTAGAAAGTCAATATCACCCTCAGCAAAAGCTATTTCAGTGGAAAGGAGGGATGAAAACCACATTTCATCTCACTTAGGAAGGTTGTATGTTCATCATACATTTTTTTGATACTAGATAACCCTTTACTTGGGTGGGGAAAACCTCATTCTGCAGGACTGGAACAGAGATTTTATTCTCTACCAGGAGTTACAAATAAAATTGCAGTTCTTTATTTAATTAGGGGAACAGAGGACTTACGAATCAGACTGAGAGAAAATTACTGTTGTTGGGCATCACTGCTTTATTTTTTATGGAAAAAAATAACACTAAGTTTTGGGAGAGAAAGAAGAGATCATACAACAAAGTACAAAACAGCACAAACAAAAATAGGTAATAGTCGGTAATAATGCAGAGAGCAGCTCTGGCCTAGTGATGCAGGGCAAAGGGGAGTGAGTGTCTCTGAAACTCTATACCCATCTGCCAAGGACCAATTAAAGACAAATGTGCAAAAGTACTTCACAACACAATCCTCTTACCTTTCTTTTGATATCAGTGAACTGGGAAAACATTAAAGACCAATAAAAGGACAGCTCCAGTAGATAATAGTAGTGAAGGTCAGTTGTGAGTGGCTGAGGACCAAAGAAAAAAAAGCAAAGGTTAATAGTTAATAGGAAACCCAATTCTTCCCCAAACTTCTCAAGCTCAGTGCTAAATTGATGTGGTCTTACACCTCCCACAAATCCCTGCCCCGTTTTCTTTGTGGGTAAGCCTCTAAAGGGTACTTCTAACATACAGCTTGTTGGCATTACTTTTTCACCTTTAATCAACAAAAAGGTTAATCAGTATGAACATCTGGTACCAAAGTAGTGTTCAGTTCAACAGTAACATTTGCAGTTCTTTGATAAGTGTATTTGCAAAATTCCTTAAGTACATAAAAAACAAAACTCTGCCATATAGCCAAAAGAATAACTCTGAACAACTGCTGTGAGATTCCACAGCATGAGGACAAAGGAGGTGGAGATGGAAAGGCAGGTACCATCTGGGTCACCGAGGCATAATTTTGGCTTTGCGTTAATGAGGGTTTTCTTGCTATGAAGAAACATTCAGCATGGGAAACTCAAAAAAGATAATTCAAAACTATTTGTTAAGAGATCCGAGGAACAAGAAAGCTTCCAAGAGATACCATGTTAAGCACAAAGCCAGAAAATCTACACTGGAGCCCCAGCTCCATAGCATTAGGAGCTAGGAAACTTGAGGCTTGGTTTTACATATTGTAAAATGGAGGTGGTACTTGCTCCTCCTGTCTGAGAGGCTCAAGAATGGGGAGAGGCCCATGCATACGGAATTCAAAAGTATTTTGCACATAAATCCATGAAAACATAATATCTTTCAAAAATCCAGCTCATGGGAAGGGATCATGCTTAGTGAAATAAGCCAGAAAGAAAAAGAAAAATACTGGGTGGTTTCATAGCAGAAACATAAAGGGCCAGGGGGGAAAAATAATAATAATGAGCAACTATATACCAGAGACATTTTATGGGGGTAGAGTGGGGAATGGGATCAAAAATGGAGGGGGAGAGCATGGAACTATGGTGATGCACACGGGTGATTTGGTGATGGGAAGCCCACAGGGATTACAACTGAGATGGAAAAAAGCACAAAATGATATAAAAATAAGCTATAATAATAAGAATAAATTCAGTCCAATCAGCTGTTCTTACTAGTTTGGCTTTTTTGAGTTGTAAATATGTCATGCTCTATCAGAATGAATGAAAGATCCTTGAAACTTACCACACAAATGTATCTGTAGCATTACACATAAGGTACTAGTATATTTGGTAAACACAATGGTAATTCAATAAATACAGTATGTTTCAACAAAGAATTGTATATACTAGCAGCACAAAAGATGACTTCCACTCACAAGAAACTGACATTCCCTTCATTACCAAGTTTATGCATCAACATCAAGGAAGACAGTTTCCCCTCTCATTGATCTTTCTTTCTCTCTCTCTCTCTCTCTCTCTCTCACACACACACACAAACACACACACAGACCGTGACACTGTCCCACCAGAAACTCTAAACTCTGGCAATAATATGCATGACAGTATTCAATCTTGGCATCACCTTGCAGTGACTGTACTTCCCACTAAATGTTCCATTTAAAATGTGAAGACATTAATGTGGAGGGATGAGTATACAGGTCAGACATCAGGCAGCAAAGCTAGAGAATAAGACACTGGCTTAGGAGGCTTGGGGTGATGATAAAATCTCAGGTTTAATACAAGCCCCTTACTCCCTATATCACCACCTGGAACCAGGCCACTGTGGGTTATGAGAACAAGTGAGAGCAGATCAAGAAGCCACAGAGTTCAGAAGCAAGAGTCATAATTAGCCTACTTGCGAAGTGCTTTGCAGTTGACAAAGTTGACCCATGTTAACCCCTTTGACTTCCATAAAAATCCTGTACAATTAGCACCACCATTTTCTAGATCATGTGGTTGATAGGAAATTGCTGTGGTTAATTCTCAGGTCTCACAGCTAGGGGGGGGACGCCTATGATTACCACCCTAGGACTTCCCATTCCCAACCTTTGTGCTGTAGATACAACTACAAGATACAGCTGAAGGCAACTGCACACAGTTTTTATATTAAAAACAAACACACTTTTATATATACACAAAACATTATATATATATATATATATATATATATATATATATCCATACACACACACATATACATATATATCTCCATACATATGGAGCAGCTGTCCTTAAAAAATTGAAGTAGACCATTTCTTTTTCATATAAAAATCTGATTAGATATTTAATATATAGGCTAATGACGCACTATGTTTCAACAGCATGTCCCATTTTCAAAAGTGCTCTACTGTAAGGCCTGAGACTGACTCTAAATTGGAACCTCTTCATTTTATATATATGTTGTTACATTTTTTTTTTCCTGCACAGACAAAGAATGCAGCAAATGTTTTGTTCCTATTACAATATAGAGTTTAAAAATGATCACAGTTCCCACAATTTATGAATTGGTCCTAGTTTTTGGAATGATATATGCCGAACTATATTGATAAGCAATAGGAAATAGTCTTGATCTAAATCCTATCTTTCCCTCTGTACTAATTGATGCTATTTTCTAAACATTACCGTGTCTAACAGATCCTCAATTTTTCATATTGAATCTATAGTTCCCTCTGAAACAGCCTGCAACTATATTTTGAGCCACTGCCCTAGCAACTAATTTTCTCAGAAATAAGCATTTTGTCAGATGCAGCCATAAATGTGAAAGTTATTTCAGACTACATTATAGTTATGAAGAAGCGTGGGTATTACATTTCATATGGCATTTGTCTCAATGTCGTTCACAGGACAGAATTTACCTCATAAATGCAGAGCATTAGAGCATCTGCCACATTAATATATGAGTTAAAGTTTCTAGAAGGCTTTGATGTACTTTTAGAAATAGAATTCTAGATATATACATGGATTGTTCCACTCAATATACCATTACAAGGCACAAAGAGAGCTGTAAATGACAACATTCCCAGTATTTAAATTAATCAAATAGCAGCTGAACTTGAGAATTACAGCTACGTACATGGTTATTGGTTTCAATGTTCAGACATCCCAGTGTTCATCTCTAACCACATCCTGATGCTTAAAGACAGGGCTTTTGTAGTGTGAATAAAGGATGTGGAAGCGATGCAAACTGGATTTCATTCCACCGTGCCCTACATGCCCTTAGTTTCATGCTTGCCTCCCAAGAAGCATGTGTAGTCCTGCCCCAGTGGTAACCCTCTGCATAATAGAAGGAAGCAGTGCATGTCTGCTCCCACTAACCATCTCACACCAAAAGGTCAAGTGACTCTAAAAAGACAACTCAAAAGAATTCCAATCAGATTCAATAAATTCCAGTTGTTTATAATAACATGTTTCGCTTTAGTTAGTTAAAACTATTCTTTTACATAGCATCTTTCAATTAAAAAATAAATTTTAGATTTTTTTAGCAAGAAATTTCCAGAAAAGTCCAGGTGTGATATTCAAATAGTAACTCATCTTGGGACCCCCCTGTAACATGATATTACTGAATTCATAGTCAGAGGTAAAAGTATGGCAGTGGGTAAGCATCTGAAATGCTCCTTTCTAGAACATAATTTTAATCTCATTTTTATCAATGCTTCCCACACACACTGTATATATATAACAGTAGTATAAAAGGAAATAGGTCTTGATCAACATATTTAAACGCTGCTCCTAAGCCACCAAGTGAACTAAATCCAGCATGTCCACTCCAGTTCCACACCTGGGCTGTCAATATGGGCCCATGTTGTCACCAGGACACGGGCTTGCCACCTTAAAGTAAATCAACTATAGAAGCAGGAGCCAACCATATATTGAACTAGATTGTATCTTACTCTCCTGAAATTGCACCTTCCATGCTTACTTCATCTGCTAAACACAATTCGGCTTTGATTCTGAATACTGAAAATATAAACTGTTTCCCTCGCTAGCTTATTTCAGCATCCAACAAGGGGCAGGGGGCCAAAAAGCAAAGCAGCTGCCCACTTGCTGGGACCTCCCTAGTTCCGGGAAATTGACCGAAGGAAGAGACTCTGTATGTGTAAGAATGCAGACAGTAATGTCTCCTACCTGATAGGGGTAGTTGTACCAGCAATGCCTTGTATTCCACAACCAGGGGGTCTGAAAAAAATGACAAAGAAATATATTTGACATGTTTTGAAAATGAAGTAGGAGGGAAAAGAAATGCTTAGGCCAGGTTCTTGCTTCCCCTTTCCCCAGTATTTTGGGATTTCAATATCCCACTGGTGTAACAACTGCAGGATTTAAACCAATTAGGATGTTAAAGCAACTAGGATTCCATTGTACATTTTCTCTGGTCATCTAAATTCAACTGGAATGGAATTCAGGCTACTTCTGGAATGGAGTTCAGTTGGTGATTTTTTTTTTTAAATTTTACTTGTCACTTATACATATTCCTCCTTTATAACCAGTCTCTACTGCAGAACCCTCCAGGGGTCTTACCAAAATGAGATGTAGATCCTTAGGCTTACTATAATCAATAAATAATATTGACAATTGTTACAAACTACCTCAAAACACCCTCCAACCAGTATTTACAAAGTGACATTTATTCAAGTACTTCACAGTTTGAACAATCAGGTATACTTCTGAAACTGAGTCTCAATTTTATATGTCTGAGGGAATTAATCCTCTCAGCAGCTCCCACCCCTGACTCACGGTTAAGGTCTTTCAAAGACAAAACAATCTTAATTTGATAATTCCTTGCCTTACATTATATAAACAGAACATTTAAGTGTACACACAGATTCCAAACATTTCCAGTAAACGGGGATGGGCTGGTATGGTCTTAGACAGCTGAATTATCCAATAATACTGTGCCACCCGATCTACAGTTATCCACAGTTTGTGGTGTATCTATAAACATTTGATATATATTTCTTACTATTAAATCAGTTGGTCAATCCAATCCATATGTTTATGTAGCTCAAGATGAATGATATTATCATTGAAAGATAAATGCCAAGTGTTTTTGTACTGATCTAACTTCTCTATCTAATCCTAGACCCTTTAAGATCAAAAGTTGCTATCATCTGCAGCGAGATAATTGGTTGTTTTCCTGAAAGCAACACAGATATCAGTTCATGCCACATCATCCTTATCAGCCCAGCACCAATGAGGATAAGGATGATAACATTAGCTAATAATTGCTGAAACCTCCTTCTGGTCATATATTTTTCTTGAGAGTGTTTCTCCATCTCCTATTTATTTAACCAATTAAAAAACTGTTTACCTTTCAACTGTTCTCTGTACATTTTTAAAAAATATATTTATTTATTTATGTTTACAGAACTGGGGTATAGGCCTGAGGCAGTGAGAGGATTCACCAGAGATGGAATGGACAGAAGGACAGGCAGATTGATGAAGTACACTGCTGAGGGGAGCAGCGGGTGAGACAAGGGAGGTCTGCCGCACCATGTGGGTCAGCTCGGGCCGGATCCAACTCACACTTAAGTGGCTGCAACACCTTCGCAGTGATGTGCTTTAACCCTCTTACCATCAGGGAGGGCCCTGTGCTTTACTTTTATTGGCTGTTATATGTATGAAGTCGTTTAACCCTTACAAGAGTTAGTGTATTTGGCTTGTTCTATAGATAACAAAATTGAGGTCTGGCGTCTTTAAGTAAGTTCACAGGCTAAAATGGCAGGGCAGTGCCAGAGCTGTGAAGCAAACTCAACCCAAACGTAATCAGGTGGGTTCACTTTTGCACACTGCAAAAGTGAACCAGGCTTCAGTTTTGTGAACCAGTTGAAGGAAAAGCCCCGCCCTAACTAAATCTAAACAGTTCAGGAATCTTGACACCCTCCCTTTCATTTCAGGCACTACTGATTCACCTTTCTTTTTCCTGATTTTGCCATGTGTTGCTTGTTTAACGCTGCAGGCGTCATGGCATCTCACTGCACTGATCACACTGCATGTCTCCTCCAGAACATCGATGTTCCCTCCTGACCTACCTCACAGGGAGATTGTGAGGCTCCTGGGAGATAGTGGGAATAAAAATGCCTCAGGGCTTCAAAAATTAGTGACATTGTCTTGCATTTATATCAACAGCATGTGTCCACTGAGGGAAATATGAAAACTACAGAAAATAATAAAAATTTAAAATAATTTTAATTTTTATTATTATGAACATTTTCATGTATACTCCATTTTGGTCTTTTTTGCCCTATGTAGTAAAGATATAACTATAGATTAAAAAAATGTATTTTTAAACACACATGCATAATTTTTAAATGTAGCCCAACACACCAAACTCTATTTTAAAGTACAACACAAATGTTATCTTTCCCTCTGATGCAACTGTTTATTATCTCCACAATTAGTTGAAAGGCCCCAAGGGAAGACATGTCATATGCATATGTTTATCCCCCCAGCATCTATGCTCAAGTTGACAGTTAAACATTAATTTACTGAATGCTAATGAAAGAAATACAAAATTAAATGCAAGGCCTATAATAAACCTCCAAGTATTCTTCTGGGTCTCTCTATCCAGGCATGTGTGTGTTCGCTTCTAAAGGCACAGAGGGGAATCTCTCCCATTGTTACCAGCCCTTGTAGTTATAGGCAGGTGAGCAAAGGTCTGATCCAGTGACCCAGAAAGACCCATTGTTAGAGCCTCTGTTCCTCTGTCAGCTTCTTAGCTCTTTGGTCTTCTTCGAACATCCACTCTGTCCCCATGTGCATCAGATGACAACAGCTAGATTATATCTATTACACACTGATACCTACATGACCTACGGAAAGAGTGAGTGAGTCTTTATTACCTCCTGACCTACCTCACAGGGAGATTGTTACCTCCTGACCTACCTCACAGGGAGATTGTGAGGCTCCTGGGCCAGGACATTATGGATTTGTGAAGGCCAGGACAATATGGATTTGATGGAGATACTGGGGCCCTAGCTTAGCCTGCAAGTTTATTTGCCAAACATTTTAATAATAACTTCTTTCACATGCAATGCATGCTCACAAATACCTCTTACTTTAACAACACTAAATACATAAGTCAGCTTCTATAACCACACCACAGTTTTCTAGGATCTCATAACCACAAAATCTGGAGACAAGTAGAATAAATACTATCTTTCCCAATTGACAGATGAGAAAACATCATTCCATGAGAAGATGATTCTCATTTTTTATAGTTCAACACTGGTATACGGAATCTGGAACGCTTTTATTTTAACACATGATTAACTTCAGTGTGAGTTAATACCATGAAGCTAGCATTTTTATCCTTTAGTCAAGTTTTACATTTTCACGATTAGATGTATTTTTCATAATCATTTCCACATTCACCTGATGTAAAAATTTACATATTCCATCAAATTAAAGGACAGTAACATAATTAAGAACATAAAAGACTGAACTATTTAGATGTCTAAAAAGAATGGTGGTTACAAAAGAAAAATTAACTATCTTAATACCCCTCTGTTTATAAGGGTGGGCCCAGAAGCTCCTGAAAAAAAAAAATCTGTCTCTAGATAGTACATGATGATCCACACACATTTTCTGGAAACATATGCCTCTTTGACATGACATTACAATATCAGGTATAATGTGATCAAGACTGGAAAATTGTTAAGAACCTAAGGACCCTTAAGTCTTGTCATTCCAATAATTTATGATTATATTATTCCCCTTTACACAGGCACATACACATAATGTTACAAAGCACTTTTAATGTATTTTATACATATTATATAATCTGATTCTTACAATTTTGTAAGTGCTCAAACTAACAGATGCTATAATATAAAAGGCAACATGTTGAAGCAGAACTTCTCAAATGGTTGAGATGCAGGTTCTGATTCAGTAGATCTAACTTGGGGTTGAAATTCTACAGCTTTAACAAGTTTCCAGTTGCTGTAATACTGTTGGACAATGGACCACACTTTGAATAGGAAGGTGCTAGGGGAAAATAAGGAAAATCCCATCCTTTTAATATTAACTATGTATAAGATACCCTGTTAGGCACTTTGTTACAATACTCATAATTCAATGAATGAATGATTAGGTGAACACATAAATGAATTGTTTCTAATTTTTACAATAACCATTTGAGGCAGAAACTGCTAGTAAAACAATATTTAGCTAAACACGATGCTGTTCAACCAGTGTCTTTGACAAAACCATATATCTAAGTTCTGGTGGAAGGTATGGGAGAATTTGCCTGTGTCACTTTGGGACAGTGTCCCCTAAAATTTAACATAAGTGATTTCCTCTGACCTCTTCTCCATTGCCATCAGACTAGGTAATTCAGATAAACATTTCTTTGAGTTTGGCATCAAAAGTCTCCTATTATCCCTGGTCTCTTACCTATAAATTGTACATGAGAAGGTGGTAAGTTCTTATAATGTATGTGTAGGTACATATATGTGTGTGTGCACATATACACACATACACAGACAGATTTAATCACACAGTAGCATAGACTATATTCTCAGTAATATATGCATCACTGTATCATTAATTATTTCACAGACAAAAGCATAATCTCAAAACCTAATGAGCTGAAGGATATCTGGCAGGTAGAAAGAAAAATTGAGATTTAAACACAGGCCAGTCAGATTCTTCCATTATTCCTGCCCCAAAATACTCTGCATGTACGAAGAATGAATAATGAAAGAAGATCATGGGCATTAGAAATAGATTACCCAAATGAATTATTATATAAGAAATTAAATTTTAGGGTTAAAAGGGGGTCTCTAAATCCTGTTTAATCTACTAAAGAACACACATATTTAAAAGGGTAATTACTTTTCTCACAGAGTTCCACAGTTATCAATCACAACAAAATTCTTCAGGATTATTCCCTGCTTTTATTAATGATCAAAAGAAGTTATAGCCACTTCTTTTTTTTTTTTCATTGTGGCATCTGTTATGAAGTCAACTGTGCACCCCAAAGATGTAAATGTTGAATCCCTAAAAGCCCAGTGTGACTATACTTGGAGATAAGACCTTAGGAAGGAATTAAGGTAAAATAAGGTCATATGGGGAGGGCCCTGAACTGATAGGATGGTGGACTCAGAAACAGAGGAGGAGGAGAAAGGAGAAAAAGAAAGAGGGAGGGAGGAAAGTGGGAGGGAATATCTTCCCCATAA